TTGGCGACAGGTTCTGCTATCATTAATGATCAACTACATTTCTAATGTTGGACCGTTTGTGCTAGCACTTCGGATGGCTAACGTATGCTTTAATGCGAGTGTATGCTAGATATGCTGAGACAGCAGTCTGTCAATCTTTCCATAAGGGACTGTGATAAACATTCTGAGTGTTTTTCTTTGGTACACAAACGGAGCCAAGATGGGGCGACCCGTTTGCTATGAAGCTGAAACTAAGACTACCAGACTACCAGACTACCAGACATCTTACAACTTGTGTTTAATAAGTAAGAACAGGTTGCACGCGAATGTCATACATCTTGCCTTTAATACGCACTAACAGATAATTGCATTCTTTTATTTACACATTGAATATAATGAATGAATGCAAGCTGAAGAAATAAGCGAAACATTATCAGTCATTTTATGAAAAGAAGTTAACGATATAGTAGACACATTCTGCGAATCAAGAGACGCATATTTATCAAAAAGGCAAATAAATATGAAACAGATGGATTAAGGAAACGAGGACGTAAAAGCGAAACCCTAAAACGGACGTTTAGGAGAGGGGCCAACAGTGCTCTACTGGATTCCACCCATTAAATATTGAAGATTGCATAGTGTAAAAGGGAATTGAGGGATATCATGTCAGCCTTATGTGGCATTTAATGGCACAAAATGATGACGATGACGACGACGAGAGGATGCTAATGATGATATCATATGTTGATGATTATATGTTGATGCTGATGATGATGAGATGATAAACAAATTATACTGGTAATGATGAGCTGGTACGAAGTGATGCAGATGATACAGAAATGAAAATGAGATGATGCTAATGATGATAAGGATGCTGAAGTTGATCAGTTGGTGTTGATTATAAAGAGATTACGATGATGATTATATAATGCTGATGATCATGCAAATTCAAAGATATGATGCTACTAATGCTTAGTTGGTGACAAAATGATGCTGATAAAGAAAGGATGATCAGGAGATGAATATGTACTGATGCGGATGAAGTTAAAGATGATAAGACCGTTATGGGATGATGATGATTATGAGATGATGTCGAAGTTGATGATATGGTGTTGGTTATGAGGAGAAGACGAGAATGGTAGATTGGTGAATGGGACAAGAAAGAACACTGACATGATCTGTAATTAGGAGGATTGTGTCAGAGAGCAAAACATAAACGCCTACGAAGAGCATAAGGCACAAAATGAGGATGCAGATAACTAGGTAATCTGCTTACTGAGCTACTGCTCCTGCCGATACGATCCGGCACTTTCGGCGTAGAGGCTGACATTGTGCAGACTTTTTTGATTTGAATTGTAACTTCAGTGGTGGGTGGTTTATTAAAAATGAACAACAACAACAACAACAACAACAAAACACACACACACACACACACACACAGAGAGAGAGAGAGAGAGAGAGAGAGAGAGAGACTTAAAGAGAGACAGAGATAGAAAAATATAAGAAAGTCATGCAAAAGAAACAAAACAACACACAGTAGGCGAGGAATAGAAAAAAAAAAAAAACAGAGATCTGAAAATGTTTCGAAGAAATAAAAAAAATCGACTTAGGTAACGCACTAGAAAGAGCATCAGAAGATCCTTACACCACCTCACCCCAACCCCTACAAAAAATATGTATGATATCAGTGAAATTAAATAATTAAAAAATGGGCAGCTACCATTGATGGAAATTATGTTTAGTCATTTCAACAAGTATGTTAAATTTTTAAAATTATACTAATTTTCTTCACTGGCCGCTAGTGAACGTTGCTGTTTCCAAAAATGGATTTTCTTTGTTTCTTTCTCACCGCAGGTCTCAAAACACGATCACATTGTCAGTATGTGTATTTGTGTTTGTGTATGTGTGCATGTGTGAGGAAAGACTGGTTTTATCAGCCTAATTTAAGCAATAAGTCAGCATTCGATACTGTTCCAAGTTCCTTTGTAAATATGACAATAAAGACATATAATCGAACACGCAGTTCACAATTGTAGTTATCATCGCATTTAACAAAATGCTCGCCTGTTGGTCGTATGCACCTGGGTTCACATCCAAACCAGAAGATTACCAAAATAGCGGAAACACAATTGAAATTTCTTTTTTTTTCTTTTCTTCTTCAGTCTGAGGAGGAATAAAATGTATACCAACCAGAACATAGCTTAGGAAGTAAAGGTGGCCTGTGTGATGTTTACCGCATCACATACCGAGTACCGTAGAAACGAACTTAGCATCATTTACTTGGTGAACTGCTGTTGTAATAAAGAAGAAAAACAGGACCCATTATTTTATTTGTCTGATTTTATTAGTCTGATTCATTTTCATATAAAGTGTATGAATTGTTTCCCTATCATAATCAACGTGTTCTTTTTATGAGTACGAATATAAAGTATATACTAACGTGTGGTAACCGCGTACAGTTTCAGAACCATGGACCTGTCGATTGTACAATGCAGCAAGTGTGAACAATTCTAAATAACGACCAATAACTAAATTATGTTGGAATAGAACAAAGCCAGGTATGAGCTATAGCGGTGCTAGTGAGATAACAGATTAAATCAAAGAGTAAAGTGGTTAAACAGATGGGTTTAGCTGTTTGAAAACCATCAATCAAAGAGAGGCGTCAGATGTCCTTAACGCCGTCTCGGAGTGAGTATCCTTTTATCTCAAAGTATACATCATCAAAGTTTGGTCCACACTTACATTGTCACTGTCACCGGACATCAAACAGAAATAGTGTGTGTTCTCATTTGAAGTTATGCAAATATATGGGTATATTCACCAGTAGGTGATATATTTTTGTGATATCAGATGTCACGTATCACACTCTAACTGTATAAAACATTGTGACTCTATGTAGACATTCACATTGCCAATAGGACATCCTGGAATTGCGGCTGTGTAATCTGGTCAACTACTCTGCAACATACGAAAGGTAAATATTATGTTGTCAGCGTTCTTTAACATATCACATTGAAGTATTTTAAAGAAGATCCACAAACCCAACAACCCTGGTCGACTTTGTTCATGCCCAACGGTAAATATTTCAGAATTCCCCGATACTCTTTTTCAATCAATTGTCAGCAACCCCCCCTCATTCGTTAAAGATACTAACCATGCCCTTAACATGTTTGTATCTGTCAGGTTACTCTCAGGCAAAACATAACCACCGTTTTCTGTTAGATGCATCATCTCTTTAATTAAACATCTGCTCCTTATGCTGATGGGTTCCAGGCGCTCCGCCTCTTTTCGTTAGGAGGACAAAGCCCGACATCTCCACTTGGGTTCTTGTCCACTTAGCTGAATTAGTTAAAAGTTAATTGCGCATTCTTTTCATAATGTAGCAAAACCAACCCCACCAATTTGTTTTCTCGTGAGGTTTTTCTGGGTAAATTTAACACTCTGTAGTTTTCCATTGTCGGCTCTGTGGCTAAGTCGATGCGAACGCTTCGTAATGCCGGGACGCCGGGTTCGATTCCAGCTGCGGACCATGCGCCTTGCGTCGGTTTCGACAGTGGCATCAAGAAAGCCGACCGTCGAGTAACCAATGGCAAACTACTAGACGTAAATTTGCTTGGACGAAAAGAAAAAACAACAACCAGAAGCTGTTGAGGTTTGTTCTGCAACGTCCTGTAAAGGATACGCAACTAACCTAACGTTTTCCATTGCTTTCGGTACAACAGTCGTAACCACCGCAAGACAAATCGTCAGCAGCTGAGATCGAGCCTGGTACCCCAACTAAATTAGTAATCTCAATTCTTGTGAGTTTAACGGCGAGTATTTGGAGCAGATAAGTTGTGTCCCGATGGGTACTCAAATGGGTCAAAGTTATGCCTGTCTTTTATGAGTTAACTCGAACATCAGGTGTGGTCTACATACACAGAAGATCTTCCTGAATTGAAAAGGAGGTACATAGATGATGGCGTAGGGATTACTGAAATGTCAAGAGAATACCTCGACCAATTGATTAATTTCATATGAACCCTCAAACTCTTTGTTCAGTTCACCTCCTGGATTTCCCTAACTTCCTCAAATTGCTTAGACATCAAGGTTAGCATCGACTTACCTTTCTTAACCAGCTGTGCTTATTATAAACCTCATATCTAGCTTCAATATACATCCTTCCAGCCTTTCTCTTGCAAAAATCGTATACCATTCTCTCAGCTGCTTCCTGAGTAAGGCACGCAAGTTTTTGGACGTCTTCCATGCCCGCCTTTACTCTGAACAGATTCTCATGGAGGTTCTAACAAAAAGTACAGTCCATTACTCAGAGAGAAGCACTTTCCGCTAAACCTAAACCCGCTCCTGAGAGACTTAAACTGATCTTAAGGTATCACTCTAATAATTTCGCGTCCGTGGATAAGGCGTTGCGAGTCCAACGTACCGCGTGGCTGCGTGGATTTTTATCGTGGTATAGGACGTCGCAGGTCGACCCAGCCTCAAATGGATACCAGGTTGGCTCTCCTGGGGAATGCTGATCACATTACTCACGGAGTGCCGATTGGTCTGTAAAAATATGGGTGATTTTCCCATATGCACAATGCGCCTAAAGGCGTGAAAAGGTATCTTTACTTTACCCACTTTCCAATAATTTCGCTGTGTCTATTTCACTCCTTCCGTTAAGCTTTCTAGACACATTGTGTGTATATTTTTATATTTCTCGCTTTCAACTCGACTGCACATAGCACTATTTATGTCATCACTTCAGATATTTTAAACATAGTTGCGTTAACTTTACAGTAGGATGCAGAACCAAATGTACACATTTTTTTTTTAAATTTCATATTGTTTGTACATTAATAAACCATTTTACCCTCAGTCGTTCAAGATTTCAAAGTTATGCCAAAACTGCACAGTACTAAACAGATTTTTGTTGTTGTTGCTTTTATCCAATTGATAATTGCAAACGCAAAATTTTATTCTACATACGTGCCTGCACTATTTGTATATGTCGTCAATGTTGTTACATTCCCACTTTGCAGATGAAGTCTCTGTGTTTCCTTGCCACTTTGATAACTGTAGCTGTCGCATCCCTGCCTGTTGGAGCTGTAGAGGTCAACAAGCGACTTCTTGGTTTACTAGGTGGAGAAGATGATGGTGGACTTGTTGGCGGTCTTGTCGGTGGAGATGGTGGACTTGTTGGTGGCCTTGTAGGGGGAGAGGGTGGACTTGTTGGTGGTCTTTTAGGAGGAGAAGGTGGACTTCTTGGCAGCATTCTTGGGGGAGAAGGAGTTCTTGGAGGTATTCTTGGACTAAAGGCTGATATTCTAGCTAATCTTATAAATACAGCAACTGGTCTGGCTTCGGGAATACTGAAGGGAGTTCTTGATCTTCTCGCGAGCCTTACTCAAGGTTTGGAAGGAAAGACAACTGAACCGTAAGTATTGTATATGTTCTCAGACACATAACCTAGATCGTATGGTACATGATGCTCATGCACGTTTTAATTATAAGAAAGGAACATTACAGTTCATGTATTATCATCTTTTCATATTATGTTAACAATGAGGAATTCACAGTTGATCTCCATCGATGACACTCTGCTTCTTTCCTGTCTATGGTATACCTATCATTTTATATTCTTTCATTTCCTTTTCTACTGTAGTTTTACAAGTTCATGACCTCGTGTGCCTCTAATTTTCCAACTGAATGATGTACATGCCTGAGTGTCACGAGGAATTTTGTAAATATGTCCAAGACATCGCCATCTTCTTTCATTGATATCACAGCAGCATGGTTTCTCTTCTTCTCGTTCCTCCAATTATTATTTTGCTGTTAGCTGTTTTGTATGGCCAGATGCCGAAGGCTGCTTGATTTGCTGTTGTGTTGTTAGATCTTGGGGTATTGGTAACTCCCCTAGTCCTTGTTCCTCTTGTGGATCTCCTTTTAAGTCTCGTGTATGTTTGTTATGACTCTCGCTGCTGAGATCGTTGAGGGTATTTCCATCAAGTGACTGAAATATTCAATAAAATTAACGGTAGGCAGTGTCTGAAATGTTTTCCTAATTTCTTTCATTATCACATGATCTATGTCGGTTCTAGTGTTCACTTAAACATCTTTTTTTTTTTTTAACCTAGAAAGTTTTCTTTTTGTTCTTTGGATTTTAAATGTACACACACACACAAATATATATTAAATTTCTAGTGTAACAAATGATAGCATCGGATATCATAACATGCACATGTATACTGTTCAACAAAATCAAAAACAAAACGCCTTGCTACTGAAATGAACATAGGGGCTTACAATTTTGACATTTTGAATCTTCGTAATTTAAAACGTGTGAATTTCTCACATTTCACACACATACATACACACAAACACACAATTACTACTAATCAATTGAGACGTTTTATTAATATTTTGTTGTTGTTTTGCATCATGATAATTTTTAGGCGTACGGCATTTTCCGTTAGAATGGTGTAGGTCATCCTTTTACGTGGATCAGGGACTGGCATCTTCTAGGCATGGATACAATCAGATTTGGCAAGTGACCCTGTGGAATAGCTGCCCACTCTTCCTGGAGGGCGTAAAACAGATTCTTACCACTGGCTGAAGCGTTTCGGCGACAAACACACCCGTGTAGCTTATCCATCAGGTGCTCAATCGGGCTCATGCCTGCAGACAAGGATGGTCAGAGAAGGGTTTGCATGTTATTAGCAGCTAGGAACTGCGTGGTCAACCTTGCAGAATGTGATCTAGCTTTGTCCTGTTGAAAAAAGATATCGGTTGGCATACCAAAATGGAAGGACATGTAGAATTCCATAGAGGTATTGTCACGCATTCAAGCTTTCTTCAATGTGCACTAATCGACTCCTTCTGTTGTAACTGGTCATTCCCAAAATCATTGCAACACTGCCGTTTTGCAGAGCTTCATCAACACAATTTTAGGCTAACCCTTCTTTTCGCCTATGGTATACCCTACGACGTCTAGCATGGCTCTGCAGCAAAAGGAACAATTCGTCACTGAACCAGACACGTCTCCACTGGTTGTCACCTTTTTAGGGACGATGTTGGTTGGCAAAAAGAAGTCGATTTTGACGATAGCAACACGTAAATACAGGTCCTCGGTAAGATCGTCGTACCCAAAGTCCAACGTCATTCAGTCTGTCTGAACCGTTTAACAAAACACATGACGTCATAGAGGCAACGCCTGCGCAGTTCAGAAAGCTATTGTAAAACTGTCTCTGAGGCGACGAAGCCAATTAAAGCGAATTCCTGCGTATGTTGTCACTCTGAGCCGTCCACTGCGATGCTGGTCTTCAACTAAACCAGAGACTTGGAACCGGTGCGAATGTCGACTGATGGTATTCTGGTGCACGTTTAGATTTCTGGCAACCTGACTTTGACTTTCTCCTGCCTGCAGTCGGTAATTATCAATATTCCTTAAATGTATCACCAGAGAGTCCATTCGTGACTGCCTGTAAATTAACTCAATGTTTTGGTGTAGCGTTATCCTGCCTTCCTACCCCACTACTCAATTGGTTATTAGATACTGTTGTTGTTTTTTTTTTTTTTTCAACTCTTAAAGATTTATTTGATTTTTCAGTTTAGTTTTACTTTTTTTTTTAAAATTTGAAATGTGAACAACGGATAACCACCATGACACACGGATAGTAAATCATGAGTGCTCTATTCTACTTCGAACTTTTGTCTTAGAAAATCCTTAGCGCAGTGCACGAGATCCGTAGCACCGTCGAGGATCCTGAAATACTTTGGGTAGTTGTTAAACCATAAATTTTTCTCGGGCAGCACCGTTATGCTAGTCTTTTTGATTTCCAATTGCCAAGGGATTTTTTAACGTGCGCAACAATACACACGGGCGTCCGATCTCCCTATCCAGACACTAGGGGAAATTAATGCAAGTCCACGTGAACAAAACCCAGCCTATACCGGGGCACGAACCAGAGACTTTAGCATTCGAGGCGGACGCCATCCTTTAAGACCACACAGCGCCCCGTTTTTTCCCTCTTTCGTTTTCTAAACATGAAATAATTGACCTGCCTCCCCCCCCCCTCCCCCCCCTCTTAAACCACCACTAATTTACTCTGTTTTTTGAAGTTTTTTTTTTTTAATTTCCTATCTATTTCTCACTGTTTAAAAGTTCACTCTGTCTCACTTCGTATCTTTTATACCTTTACTTTATCATGCCTCTTCCCTCACAGACATATTCACACACTTTGTCTAAAACTGTTTTTATGTCACTGATGGGATGTTTATATTTCAGGGAGATATATGCCGTATTTAGGCAACACAAGATCGCTGAATTGTGTCCCCTGTGTGGACAGCTTCCCAAGATTGAACTGCAAAATGCTTGCAAAAAATTCTGCGCTGAGCAGAACTGGAGAGCTGGGTAGCCAGTAAGTTCTATTGTAATGTACAGTACAGTCTTCTTGACTGGCTCGTCTTTCTCTACTGCAGATCACTACGTTTTATTACTAACTCATTCATCATTTTAAACATGTGATTATAGTTGTCGAGAAGCGACAGGTATAACGGTTAGGATATTGGCCTCTTAAGCGGAAGACTTAGGCAGGAAACTTTGATAAGGTTAGGCATTTTTATATTTCTTTTTTCTTCTTTGGGTGGGTCAATTACACAATTTCCACAAATTCACAATTTAAAATACCTAAACATGACTGTCAGGTATGGGCGACCGCACCATCCGTGCGGTCTTAAATACTTAGACTCAAGGCATCTTTCCATCCCTTCCCCTCCCAATCCACCCCCTTTCAACACACCCCGCCCCCTATCCATCCCCATTCACCACACTCCGCCTACACAGGGAGAGTAGTAGTTTCATTAAATGACGTTTGTACTCTCAGATCTTTGTTTTAAGTGTCTGCGATACACTTCAGTGGGCTTTCATCGAAAAGAGCGTCGCCCAACAAATTGCAGGTAGCAGTACCAGTCAATATACGTTGTAAACGTTTGTTTTGTTGTCATTGTCCTTCGCGTGTGTATTGACACACAAATTAAACAAACATCAATCAGAGCAAAAGTGTGTCTATCTCCACGAATCTGATGATTCATGTGCATAAGCTAGGTGTATATAAAACAGTCTTTTTGTGATTTATTTTATTTTTGTTTTTTACTGGTTTTTACTTTCAGATTGTATTATATGTTACGTTTTCGTTTTCAACCTGAAGATATTTTCAGTAACATGTAATGTAAATGGTCGACTTTGTTTCATTACTTGCTATCCCTGCTGTCACTTTCATTACTTGCTTAGTAATTATCGGTGGTCCTATTGCAATGAAAACGGTTCATCCCACGATACCAGTGCCTATGGGCTATGGTCAAAACAAAAATGGGGTAATCGTGTTGACTATGATATCCTCCGTGCCGTATCAGAGACAGACAAACAGACAACGGGTCCTCCATGATAGCCGCAAGTCCGTTTCAGAGACAAAACAGCAACGTGCACTCATGATAGCTGCTGTCGTTGAGAGACAAACAGGCACCGTGGTCACCCATGATAGCTGCCCTGTTCGTTTTCAGAGACAAACAGCAACGGTCACTCCATGGATAGCGCCGTCCGTTTAGAGACAAAAAAAACGTACTCCCCTGATATCCCCTCCCTT